CTTCTAGCAATACTGGGACATATATCCCTTGGTAACTTAGCTGAATCTGATGTGAGGCCCTTATAAAAAAAAAAAAAAAAGATGACTATTTTTTTAGTGTAGTCACTGACCACAAGGAACTAAAAATTGAATTGTTTAGCCGTTTCTTTCAGACACGTCCAGTTCAGTATAGACAGAAATAAGCTCCTCCAGGGAAAAGAGATGGGAACTGGAACTACTGTTGTCCAGGGTGCAGGAAAGTTGTAAGACACAAACTGATAGGAAAACAGGCTCTTCAAACAAGACCATAACTTCTTTGCTTAATTCTTTCTGGATGTTCACTTAAAACACTGTATTTATACCTGGGCAGCCTTGGCAATAAAATTCCAAAGTTCAGATGATGATCTACTAGCAAAATATACTACAAGAACTGACTCAACCAGAATAAATACTTCATCAAAGTAAAGCGTGGTTACTACAGCTCCTTTTGCTTACTAGATAAAAGCCCACAGAAGACCCTGCCAATGCCAAGTGCACATTAATACCCTGTCACAGATTATTTAGTGTACTTCTCAGTCCAGAAAAGTGCCTAAAATGAAGAGATGTGGAAGATGAAATTAAGGTTAAGAGCCACTAATCATTCACAAGAAACTCCCTCTATTTATGATAGCTTGCTTTTTCTCTTAGAAGTACATTAAAATTTCCTGTCATTTTGTAGCAAATAACCTCCCTTTTAGCACTGATTTTTCCTTACATTTCTGATTTTAACATTTCGATATTTCTTTAGATTTCATCTTTAAGGATGGTAACAACCATGATAACTCTCTTTGAAATCATCTCAGTAGATGTTCTACAGGAAAGCGAGTTGAATACTTGCCCTGCTTCATTCTGTTCATATGGATCTCCTGATAATGAAAAAAACCCACAACACTTTTGGTTGGTCAAGGGACGACTAAGAGAACAGGCAGTTTAAATGACAGGCTAGCTTATGGCAACTCTCACATTTCTGCAGCAGAAATCTGCAAGGTGAACGACTTGTTCTATGAGTAGCTTTAAGAAGCCAAGGTAAACCAGTATCTTTTGATGTACGCGGCAGAGATGCTCACACATTGTCACAGGCTGTCTGTTGTTTATGCAACATCATTAAGCACACTGGCAAAAGCTTGGTGCCATTGACTATGGCCACACTTCATTACCAGTCTTTCTGTACGCCTTTCTTGGGCCTAAGCTATGCTGCTGGTAGTGGTAATATTGGTGGTGGTTGAGCTGTGTTTTTTTCCCCTCACATGCAAGGACTAACCCTCCCTGTTCACGCAGACACACTGTAACAAGAGCTGCAGATAGAGCTCTAGGTGAGAGCTCACTGCACAATCTACATGACAGTTTGTAGCAACAGAGGCAACTCCGTGCTGGGAACCTGTCAGTGTAACAGGGGCAGCTGTGCAGAGCACCCACAACACTGCAGTGCTTTCGTCCTTGGTCAGCGTCAGCAGTGTCCTCTCCTTCCTTGCCTGCTAGCATTGAGACCTATCTAGGCTTACGATATTTCAGTGTCCCTGTGTGCTCCCACACCTCTGCATGTGCCCTTTCCTTTCAGGACGGTTATCTCAAGGGTGCAGTTTCCAAAACTACGTGGCTGTCATTGTGTAGGCAGCTGCAAGCAAGTGTATCTTATCTTAACTAGGTGAACTTGATGACGACTGACAACTGGATCTCTGTGCAGGAAGGGCTTCCACAGTTTCGTCCAGCCGTGTTATCATAGCCTCTCTGCTACATCCTCTTATTGTGCTTTGGCAGCCGCCGCCGGATCTGTTGAAGAAGTTCTGCGAGATTGTTTGTCTGCATGCTTGTCATTTCTACAAATCTTTTCCCTCCCAGGGCAGTATGACTTGTTTTCCTATACCGCAACACTGAGAAATGTGCTTACGTATTTATCTTCAAGTACAAACAGCCTGTGATTCACAAGTCTGTTACCTTGTCACCAAATTACCATTCTAGGCATCAAAGTATGTTCTTGATCCAGCCCACAAATTGTACCCAAAATTACATTTTTTAGAATGAAACATTGCACCATTTGTGCCAGTGAATGCATCATCATTGTTTATGATTTTATAGTGTGCCCCATGCCTTTCCACAGGCAGCAAGAACAGCAATAACGCAAATATTATGAAGACTTCAGCCTTTACTTTTTGCACATTGGACTGTTACAACAAATGACTAAAATCTAGTTGCCATTGACTGTAGTAGCTTTCTTTCATTTACGTTGTTCTCAGCATACAACCTGGTATTGTTCACCAGAAACAGCATGATCTGGAGGCATGTTTACCTCCTATGCGTACATTTGCGTTACAACACTGTAGCATTAACGAAAAAGCTACGAGGAGCTACAGAACACATGCAGGTCTCTTAATTATTGTTATTTTGTGTGTGTGAATTTTCTTTGTCAAGTTTGTCTGTACTTTCCTTTCATTAAGTAAGGTGAAAAATGTAATTAATCCAGAAGAAAGTTGATTCTAAAAGTCACACCTATCCTTTGGGGTGTATTTCATGGCATTTATTTCCTAATACCAGGAACAGAAAGGAAGTTAACAAATGAGTTGCTGCTATGCTCTTAATTAATCCTCTTAATTAATCTGATGTATTAATTTAGGAGGCTGGTTATCAGAAAAGCAGTCCAAAAGGGGTTCAGGGAAGAGCCTATATCAAAGAGGATGTTGGTAGCAGAAGCGCTGACTGGCATCTGTCTGAGGGGTGGGAATTTGATGACAAGACATTTACAAGTTACCTACTTAGAGATCAAGGATAAGAAATATCTTGATGCATTGCTTCCTTAGTACATATCTTTTCAACGGATCTTAGGTTTTTTTTTTTTTTTCCCTCAGCTCTAAAACATACATCATGAAAACTCATTCCTCTTCATGTCTGCATTCAGACTGACTTCAGCTGGAACATGGTGTTTGTACAGGAACACAAACATTTGCACATGGAAAAGAAGGAGTTGATTGGTGATAGTCAGCAAGGCTTCAGTAAGAGCAGACTGTGCCTGATAAATCTGGTGGCATTCTCCAATAGGGTTATGGCATTGGTGGAGAGGGGAAGAGCAACTGACATCACCTACCTGGACTTGTGCAGAGCACTTGACAGTCTTGCATATCCTTGTTTCTGAAATGGACAAACACGGTTTTTACAGGTGAACCAATTGGTGGGTAAGGAACTGGCTGGATGATCACAGAGTTGCAGCCAATGGCTCAGTGTTCAGGTGGAGATCAGTAACGAGTGGTATTTCTCAGGGGTCAGTACAGGGATTGGCACTACTTAACATCTTTGGTGGCGACATGGATACTGGGATCCAGTGCACCCTCAGAAAGTTTGCCGATGACACCAAGCTGCGTGGTGCGGTTGACACACTGGAGGGAAGGGATGCCATCCAGAGGGACCTGGACAAGATAGTGAGGCACTGGAAGTGAGGGCCCAGAAAAGCTGTGGATGCCCCATACCCGAAGTGTTCAAGGCCAGGCTGGATGGGGCTTTGGGCAACCTGGTCTGGTGGGAGAAGATCCTGCCCAGGGCAGGGGGTTGGAATGAGATGATCTTGAAGGTCTGTGCCACCTGAAACCGTTCCGTAATTCTATGATTTACTGCCAAGAAAAGATGATAGGAGAGAACAGAGCTTATGTGTGAGGACAAGTCACATTCTTTGAAGGTAACTTGTTAATACGGAGGCAGTTAGACATGTTTACCTGTTTTGGTACACCACAGTGCAGAGGAATTGCTGCAGCAGGAGAGAGTGGTTGAGTAGGTTACTGAGCATAAAGAGTTGTTTGATAAGTTTCCCTAATTATTTCTATGCATGGCCGTATCTTTACAACACATGACCTGACCTTGCAATGGCATGAACACTTCTCTTCCATCTTCTATGATATTCCTTCATTTTTATTTTTATTTTTATTTTTTTTTAATCTCCAATTACAAGAGACTAATCAACCTGTCACTATGTCTACAGCTACCTTGAGCTCTGGCAGTTTCCACTTCTCACCCTTCTCACCACATGCTCCTGCTCTCTCCTTAATGTGTGTATAAAAACACTTGGACAATTTTGGAAACAAGAAGAGGGAACAAGTGCTGGCTGAAAAATAACCTAGAGGGAAAAGAAAAAAAAAAAAAAAAAGAGAGAGAAATATATAAAGATATACATGTACACATAATTTCCAGATGGGTTAGTTCCTTAATCTAACTCATCACTTGGTGGGAGAAACGCTTGGGACAGCACCTGCCAGAAACTCAGTGCCAAAACCACCCTGCTGCACACACACTGCAGGTGCGGCTGCTCCCTCCACCTGCACTCCTCCTGTCCACGAACCCCCAAACACAGCTGCAGCGACAGGAGCTGGTGCCAGCCCTGCTGCTGCCAGGTTTATCTCGTCACAGAATCACTGACCCACAGAGCGCCCACGTTGGAAGGGACCCACAGGGATCACTGAGTCCAACTCCTGGGACCCCACAGGACCACCCAGAAATCAGACCCTGTGTCTGAGCGCGTTGTCCAAATGTTTTTTGAGCTCCCTCAGGCTCGGAGCTGTGCCCGCTGCCCTGGGCAGCCTGTCCCAGTGCCTGACCCCCTCTGGGTGCAGACCCTTTCCCTAACCCCCAGCCTGACCCTCCCCTGTCCCAGCTCCATGCCGTTCCCTCGGGTCCTGTCGCTGTCCCCAGAGAGCAGAGCTCAGTGCCTGCCCCTCCGCTCCCCTCGTGAGGGAGCTGCAGGCCGCCATGAGGCCTCCCCTCAGCCTGCTCTGCTCGGGGCTGGTCACACCGAGCTCCCCCCTCCCCCCCTCCCCACGCGCATGCGCACCCCGCCGCTCCCCCTCCCTCCCCTTTCCGCACACGGAGCCCCCGGGGGGCGGGCGCCTCCCTCCCTCCCCCGCCTCCTGACGCCACATCCGCGCGGGGCCCGGCGGCGGGGCCAATGTGCGGCCGCGCTGCCGGCCCCGCCCCCTGCTCCCCCCCCTCCCCCCTCACTCCGCCGCGCAGCGCCCGGGCGCCGCGAGCGAGCGGGGGGCGGGCGGCAGGGAGATGGCGGCGGCCGCCTGGGGCCGCGCAGCGACGCCGGCAGCCGGCGGGCGAGCCACGGGCGGCAGCGAGAAGCCGCAGCGGGGGGCCCCGCAGCCGGCACGGCCGCGCTCGGAGCAGTGACCGCCCGCAGCTGACGGGCGCCGCCGCCGCCGCCGCTGCCCCCCGCCTAGGCCAGAGGCCGCCGCGCCCCGCAGGCCCCCGCCGCCGCCGCCGCCGCCATGTATTTCCTCAGCGGCTGGCCCCGGCGGCTGCTGTGCCCGCTGCAGGGCCCCGAGCCGCCCGTCCACATCCGCACCGACCCGCAGAGAGCCCTCTTCGCCGTGCTGGCCCCGTCCCAGCTCAGCGTCTGGTACTGCCGGGTGAGTGCGGCCACGGGAACACCCCCCCCCCCCCAGGCTCCTACCCAGCCTATCTATCTATCTATCTATTTATCTATTCATCTATCTATTTATCTATCTATTTGTTTGTTTTTAAGCCTCGAAGTGAAGCGGCGGGCCAGCTTGATGCTCATAGCAACGCAGGTTGTGCAGGCGTGCTCTGTGCGTTTTGTCTTCATCTTTACACATTATACCAAACCACACACACACACACACACACACACACACCACAGATGTGAAACACGCCCAGCACCTGCTGCTGGCAAGGCAGAGCCACCTGTAGCGCCGCGCCGTTACGTAACCCCTGAGAAGTTAAATAACTTTTTGCGATTGCAGGTGGGATACGTTGCTGTGGCCCTGAACGCCGTAAGGGCTGAGGCGGCTGCTGGCTGGGAGCCGCTGCTCCAGCAGCACCCCGTTGTTGTTGTTCCGGGACCGTGTGTGACTGGCATCGGATGCGTTGCGTTAAGTGAGCTCTGAATTGGCTTGGGAGCGTGGAAGTGCTGCTTGTCAGCTTGGTTTGACGCAGTCTTATGAAACAGCTGCGGTGCTGACTTCAAATTTTGACGCTGGATCTTCTAAAATACTGCCCTAATTAGATTCCCTCTCTGTCTAAAAATATCTCCGTCTCCAGATGATTTTCAGAGTTCATCTCGGATTTCAGAGAAAAGTAAAAATCCAATTTTAGAAAGCTGCTATAGAAAGGTATCAAACAACAGTCACAGCCTCAAAACCCTGTTTTGATTTATGCTGAGGTTTCATCACTTGGCCTTCTGCTGTGCTCTGCGTGGCTGATAATTGGTTCCTGGGTGGGTTGCTGCCGTGGCTGTCTCTTAACTTTGACAAGTATCCGGTCAGGGAGTGTCAGCCCAGTAACTGTGCTGTGTGAACAGCGTCGCGTGGCCTGCGTTCCCTGAGCTTCATGGCACCTACTGTAGGTAAATTACACAGTCTTCCAGCTGTCAAAGCTGTAGTTGTAGCTGTCAACAAAGCACAATTGATGACCTTTTCTGGGAAAATATATAAATGAGGACGGGCTTGTAGAGTGCTTCTATATGTGTGCTATTGTCCAGAAGGCAGTTTGCTTTATGGTTGGTTTCTGAGGACTGCCTTCATTATGTTACAAGTTTGGGCTTGTTTTGAAATGTTAAACAAGGTATAATTGGCAAGAGGCAGGATGCTGGAAGAATTCACTTGTTGCAAAAAAAAGGCTGAGCAAACTTAGAGGTCATTAAAAATTTCTCAACCCATTCTGGTTCCAGTGTGTCATGGGTGTTTTTAAGGAACGTGCTGACTTTGCCAGACTTGGTCAGTAACTGAGTTTAGACTATAAAATGTGGCAGTCTCTTTATGAGAATCTTTTGTATTATCGCTAAACATAGTGTGTTGTTTTTCTTTTTTCTTTCTTTTTTTTAATCAGGTGACTATTAAAGTCATATGTTGAACTTCTTTGAAACAAACAAAATTTTTGCGTTACAGAAAACGTTACCATTTGTCGGAAGTATCTTCTTTAGAACAGGGCTAAGTTCTGGTCAGGTTGAACTAATTCAGTTTTGCGAAGTGGAAAAGCCTTTAGGCTAATGTCCTTGTTAAGACTTATTACTGTCTCAAACGTATATGAAAGGTTTCCTGTAAGAATAAGGATGTGAGGCTGGTGAAACTGTTTTGAGGTTTTCAAGAACAAGGGGCCCTTTGAAATACTTTCAGGCTTGTGAACTTATATTCAGTCTTGTGTATGTTTCAAGTGAAGTGGTAATGTTTAAAGCTCCTTTTCATCTGCTGTGGGTTAAGACCGATCATTAGGGAATGTTTACACCAAAGTGTGGATTGTTTTCTGGTTTGGAAGCCATATAGGTGATAAGGTTAGAAGCTGATTTACATGATGTGTGTAAAAACAGATGGAGTTCTCCTGGTGTGGTTGAGTTCCAGATGATTTACCTTGTTTTGAAGGGGGAGGCTGGATTGTGGATACAAAGACCACTAATGAGTGGCGAACTGATTTGACTGCATGCTGATACTGATAAAAGATGTTCGGGCATGCACCCCCTATGTGAGTATAGTTCCTTACAAACTGTGTGTGTTGAGTAATATACTTATTTGTATGCTGTAAAACAGACACAAAACAGAAATTAAAAAAGATAAAGATGAAATAAGCAATACTTTTAATTTTTGTTTGTCAGTGGCATAAACTTTTTTTTTCTTGCTCCCCAGTGGGTTGTCTGGCACATCTCCCAGTTTGGAGACGGCTTATCTAAGTGGCTTTCTTCAGTATTTCATAAGAAATTTATGGCTTAGGTACCTCAGAAGATTAATTGTCATTGAAAGCCAATGAAACTGTTTTCATTGACAGAATTGGAAGGCTTGTTGAGGAGTTTTTGTTCTGCTAAAGTTAAGTACTTGGATGTTTGAAATGTGAAACTTCAGTTCATGAAAGAAACTTTCTGAAATGCTAAAAAGAGGCAGTTAATTGGCTTGGGTACTGAAGGTGAGGGCTTCATGAGGCAGCTGTGCAGTCTGAAGGGTTGTCATCTTTCCTGCTTAGACCTGTATTTTTGGAGCTAGTGGTGGCTTTTATGAGGCTGTTCAGTTTGCTGAACAAATAGAAACCTGCTTTTTTTTCTGCTCATGGAGGGATCAAAGGAGCATTGTACTTGGCTCACTGAAAGCATTACTCCTTTGACAGCAGCGTGGCCTTTAATTTTAGATCAGCTTGGTTATCTCATGAAGTAAGAGCTTGAGGCAGTTTGGTGAATCCTAGATATTCACCCACAGGGCTCTGGATACTGAGGGAAGCTGTGTGTGGCTGAAGGAGGAGATGTGACAGAGGTGTGGAGTTGAATTCCCCAGTAAATGTTGAATAGCAAAGTAAGTGGAACAGGAATAGTGTCTGATGGCACACTTGTACCAAATATAGTTCAGCGTTTCCTTTCTTTAATCTTAAATGACTTGTGACAGTAATAAGTACTGGCCCTGAATATTTAATGAAAACTATTGGAGGTGGTTGTTGGGCTGCCTGTCATAACTAACCAGTTTTGCAAGCTGTGTGGTGTCCAAGTAGCTTGCTCAGCTGTTCATTTTGAGGAAAATTTCTTAACTACCTAGGTGTTTACCAACTTAGTATTTACATCTACCCTTGCTTTTAAACTTTCCTGTGTGTGTGGTTTTTTTTTGTTTCTTTTTTTTTTTTTTGTGATAATCTGACACTGAATGAGATCACTCAAATGAACTGTAAGCCTATGGGAAAACATACATTCTGGAATCACAGATGACAGAATAATCTCTATTTGTTCTGAATGCTGAATTAGTTTATGTTCGGGCAACCCTTCTAACACACTCTTCTTGCTCTTTTCAGTCTCTAACTGGTTCAGTGTTAGAGTAGAGCTTGTTACACGCTTGAAACAAATTGAAAACAACAGGGATCTGTGCTTCCCTTAGAGAAGTGCTCTTTCCAACCTGGAATTTTGGCACAGTATAAAAGAAGTTATTTGTGACACCACTGCTTATAGTTAATGTGATACGTAAATAGACTCTTAAAAAAAAAAAAAAGGTGCAGTTGTTTCTTTTATCTTATTTATTACAGGTGGCTATGAAAAGAAAATACTAACTCTGCTTCCAGGATCACACATTGATCTCAGAACTCTAAGCAATATAACTGCTGAATACTATATATGGCCTTTTCCTAGGGAGGATGAGATACAATCTGTAGCATTTTATCTGAAATTTGATTGGAAAATGGACGACAGACATCTTCCTAGTGATGCATGCGGTTGCTTGTTGTGAACAGTATGGCACAGATGGCATCAGTGCAAACTATCATGTCTTACTTCTTCTGTTGTGCTTTTTTTTCCCCATGGTAACTTAACCGCTGAAATGCAGACTTCTTACAGATACCCATCTGGTACTGGTCTGAGAAGGCCATTTCTATTTGTACTTTACTAAGGGCACTGGGTGTGCTGTTGCTCCTATTGTGAAGTTGTATTTATGGTTAGGTAATTAACAAAAAAGAGAGAGAAAATACCTATTAAACTGATGAATTTGTCACATGAAATACAAAGTTCCTATGTTAATATTCAGCACATCTTTACCGTTTTGTGGTTTATCTTATGTTAACATCAAATAGATGACCCTTCAAAGACATTGTAGAATTACTTTAGTGAAAAGAAGAACATCTTCAGCTGTGGGTTTTGACTTTGCAAGCAGTTGCTCATGAAGTTGTTTGCCAGTACAAGATCAGAGATCACATTAGAGCGTTTGTGAATCTGATCTTCATCACAGAGTTCTATTTAACTTAAACTTAAGCACTTGATAGTTCACGGGAACAGCGAAAATCTACAGAATATGACCTTTCATATTGTAAACATTTTTGAGCAGTAGATTAACCGAAAACTTTAGCTTGTGAGAGGCAGTGACTGTCATCTGCTAGATGGTTCTGATGCGCTTTGTTTTTTGCTCTTTGACAGCAGCTTGTGTGAAGCATGTCACTGGGAGTTGTGCGTGTTAGCTTCTTGAATGGATACTCTGCTGATTCTAAACTTTATGCAGCTTTTTAAAACTCAGTTAAAGCTTTAAATGATATTTTTCGAATTAACCATATTTTTAGAAATTCTTTTACTGCTACCTTGTATTTGTGTTAACTACGTAGCTATTCATACTCTGTATTCTTTTCTTCTTCTTCCTGTTCTTACCAATGAAATTTCTTTTCATACATGTGTATACTTCTTCTTTCTCCATTTAACCTTTTATAACTTTATAAACCTATGAAGCTTCAACCTTAAAAGCAGAGCATAAGTCATTTAATGACAAAATACAATGCGCGGTTTCACCAGCCCTTGGGTCTATTTTCTTGCAGCCTGTCACTTAGACTGTAAGCTCATCAGAACAGTGTACGTTTGATTTTTGTCTTGTGCTTACAGCCTAACACTGCATTGAAAGACTTGTCTTGTAAGACAAAACAGACCATCTGTGTTTTTGAAAGAAATTGC